GTTCATGTTGCTTACTTAATGGACCCCGGTGCCAAAAAGCCACCCATTGATAGTGATAGGAAGAAGTGAATGCATGCCGGTATCTTTATTAAAGTGAATGAGTGATGATTCACCCTCATGCATGAATCATACATCAGTAATAGGCTAATGATCCATGCAGATACAGAAAAATAAAAAAAAGCATGGCAAAAATAGCCTATTGTCAATATTTTAGAGATTTTAGACTTTGTATCATGTCAAGAGGAGCCAAGCTGTCCCTGTTAGTTTCTCTATATACATTAGCCACCGCTGTGCAGGAGGGTTTACCGTATGCCTACCCAAAAATAACCACAGATATGTATCAGTGCACATGTTGCAGAGTAAATGCTACAGGCTGTGAGGGCTATGAGGGCACAGAGACATTTATCAGCATTCAAGGCAGCGTCTCCACTCAGGTAGCAGTCCAACAGCACCAAGCCTGGGGAGAAGTTCTGCCTGAAGGCGAAGCTCAGGGAACAAATGCCCCTCGCATTGCTGTTCCATACCCTGAACGTTCACACAAAAAAAGCTCATTCAGTCTTTAACGTGCCATCTTTGTTTCACTTCCTGCCAGTTTGATCGTTAGCCCAGCCCTAATTGGTTTCACCCGCATCTCGTTATCCGCCCTCACTGGAGTATTTAATGTGTGTGTGCTAACACTGTTTCTGTGCATTTAAGTCCTGTTCTCCGCCGCCACCAATCGAGACACTGGAATAACAGAATAAAGAGACTTGTTTCAACACTTTTCCTGCCTCCTCAGCCCAACCACCCAGGGTTCTCCTTGAGATTAAAATCCTCCTAAACTGTTCAGAACGAGTGTGTAACAGCCCACTCTTACTTCCACTTTCTTCATGTGACACATTGTGTTTAGTCTGGGTTTATCTGGAGTTTAACTTTATCAGGCCTTGTGTCGGGTTCATCCCATCCAGTTCCTATTTTCATCTTTATCTAGCCTTGTTGTGGCCTGAGTGAAGGCGTTGGGGAAGGTATTACTGGGTGAGAAATGGCGTTTGAACAGGTGTAAATCACAGCCGTGAGATTAAGCCCTTGATTTACTGCCCCTCCCTCCCTGCGAGAGACGAATGGGTGAGGAGAAAGAGGAAGAGATAAAGACATCAATCACTACCTCTGGGCAAAGCTTGCTTCCTTCCTATTGGTCGTCTTTCTGGTATCCCCATCTTTTTTTCTTTTCTTTCTTTATGTGATAAGGAGGAGGGAAATTATTGTTGAGCTATAGCGCCGCAACCTCACAGTTTGTAGGAGGCCTTTGGGTGCTCTGAGCGTTATCTGTATGAACCCAATCAACTCTGTGATTCAGACACAATACAGTATGTTACCATTAGTGTCACACCAGAAGTGCTTCCTCTACAGTGCGGCTATGATTGCTAAAAGGACATTTAGATTTTAATGATGTTAAACTGTTTGCACTGTTTACTGTAGCTACTGTGTTATAAGTTAATTTAATTTAATTTTTTTATTTAATTTAATTTTTAGGGTTAGGGTTTTTAATTTTAGTTTAATGTATGGTTAAATGTTTAATGTATGTTTTGTATTTTGTATGCTACTGGATACTTGAATTTCCCTCTGGATAAATAAAGTATCTATCTATCTATCTATCTATCTATCTATCTATCTATCTATCTATCTATCTATCTATCTATCTATCTATCTATCTATCTATCTATCTATCTATCTATCTATCTATCTATCTATCTATGTACATTAAATGTTATCAACTCTTTTTCAATTCATTAATTGAACTCAGTTACTGCAGGAAGTTTGTGTAAATCGAGTGATTTGGAGGAATTTTGAGCAGATTATTTCCTGTTTATTGAACTTTTAATACAATTCTCAGTCTGTTTTATGTATTTTTAACAATCATACAGATATAATAGGCTTATTTTGTGACCAATTGAGTGTTTGGCCATTGTTCTATTATATTAATTAATTTAACAAAAGTGAACCAAATGCTGGAGTCGCTATCAGTGACTCAGCAGAAATGGAATATAATATTCATAGGTATGTTTTCATTAGTGTATAATCACCTGAAAATAACTGTTTTTTTTTTCGCCATGTTGAACCACCATGTTCCTACAGTAGCCCAGAGTGGACGAACCAAACACTGACTCTACATAGGGCCACCGTAGTTTCTCCCTCATGGTTGGAAAGGTAATAAGGTTGTAATCTGCAACTACAATGTACAATGTAATGGCCTCGTGCTCACCTTGAATATCTGTCTAGGCTCTACAGTGTGGGTGCTGCAAACCAACCAATCGTAATACATCATAATATGACTGCTGCATCGGTTCATGCGGTCGTCAGCTGATGCGGTTCACCTGGTCAGCTTTGCCCTCCAGGCTCTAAAAGCTGGACCATTAGTTGATCTCCCTCCCGGCTCTGACACAACTGCCGCACAAACATCTCATACAGCCATGCTCTGCTTTTTTTGCTTATTATATCCATTTTGAATTATCCTGTTTTAACTGATCAATTATTTGGAAATAGTGACAAATACTGATTCCAAGTTCATCTTCAAAATGATATAAAACAGAGAAAAGCTGTAATCCTCACATTTAGACTTTATTATTTTAAATGTTACTTAAATTGATCAACAGAATAATGATAATAAAATCTGATAATATAAAATAATAAATATGAACTAATCATGTCTAATTGGTTCTAGTTTGATTAGCTGACCATCTCCATATTCTCACATCTGTATCAGATATATTTCATCCAAATCCTGGTGAGAGGAATTAACAATCTAAACACAACATAGTTATAATATTAATAATATTATATATTATTAATGCACTGTAAAAAAGCAAAAACTGTAATATAATTTAAATATAGTTTTTAGCTTTAATTTAAAATAAAATATAATTTTTTTGGCTTTTTAATGTTTAATTAAGGTATTTACATCTGTTAGAACAATGAAAAGACCTATAATTACAGATGAACACTGCTATACTACAAATAACCAGGATCAAATTTACAAAAGAGTGTTGTTACTGTTACAGTCATTGTCTGTGACATTTTTCAGTGATACAAACTCTATTTGTGGCCCTAATTATACATACATTGCAGATATTGCAGTGTATATATGGTGTGTTTTATATTTTAATCTTTTTGTGAAAAAAATACATTTTCTCTAATTAAGCAGTAATTTTATGATTATTTACAGCTACAGATTTGTCACGTTATTTAACATTAGATATGTAAATTCACAAACTATTTGTGTAATTTTATCATTGTTATTGTTTTTAAAGAATACATAAAAATCTGTAAAATAAACAAGAAACCCCAGTAAATTTACAGAATCTGTTCCTACAGAGAAGTCATTTATATAGTTGACTTTTGTGTGAAATACTGTGGCTCCTTCTTTCCTAAGTGAACAATAAATTCAGCTTTCTGTACAGATAATTGTTTACAGTAATAGTTTTCCTGCTTGTTAGTATAAAAACAGTCTGTTTCAGACACATCATTGATCTAACCCACATTTCACACTTGGATCCTTAAAATAAGTCTGTCCTAGTATTAAAGTCTGATGCTCCGGAGATGAAGAGGCTGCTGAAAGTGTGCCAGGTGCTTCAGGTGTTATAATACTGTGAATCACTTTGCACAGACGAGCCTGAATGGGTTTTACAGTATGAGAGTAGACAGGGCAGAGCACTCTTTACTACTACAGTAAGTCCATATGCAAGTATGCTGCAAACAACAAATAGTAATCATTTGTATTCATTCATTCACTCCCTCACTGGTTTCTGCTTACAGCTGTGGTGGGCAGGAAGCATACACTATATGATGGAATTTTATGTATTGTGTTGTTTTGTGTATGTATTTAGTGTTCTGTGGTTGTTTCTTTGTCCACCTTCCCAGATACAACAGCTACAAATGAGCTGTAAGCTACCTCTGGTGCAGATCCTTTAAATTATGCATTGTCCCTGCAAAAATAAAGAATAAATAAATAAATAAAGTTTGTCAGAGCTTGTTTTCTGGAAGCAGTTGCCTATGTTTTGTGCTGGAGGTTGGTGAGAGTCTGAGAACTAAACCACACTTAAAAAATAAGCACATGACACATGAGCTGCAGAATTGGCCGTCACTACGCAACACTTTCATATTAAACAGTCATCTAAAGTGTCACTTTAATGGATATCTAAATCAATCAATAAGTTAGAAATGTGTTTTATGTAGCTAAGAAGTAAAGATATTTAGTCTAAATACATGATTTTCACCACACAGCAACTTTATTTTATGATGTTTACGTTGCCAGATGGAATAAAACCATATCATGTATGGGCGGGGTATGTCGGTCCTTCAGATACTACATCTCGTTTATTTAAGATCAATTCTGGCATCAATAATATTGATACAAAAAAGTGGGTCTATCTAATGGATGGATGGATATAGTGGATATTTGCAGCCTTCTGATATGATCTTCATTTAATTGATATTCTTACGTTCAACAAACTGTGAAAAGACTCAAGCCAACACTGAATGTGTCTATTAATAAGTATCGTCTGTGTATCAAAGCCTAATATAATCTTCTTCCTCTGTACCGTAGAGCTCCATTGTTGTCCAATAACAATTAGTGAGCATCTTCATTATGAACACACACACTGCAGTTTATTTCGACTCTACCCCATGTACACCGTCCTGCTGCCCCGAATACTCAATAAAGCACCAAATGTGGATAAATCCGCCAGGGAAAATAGTCCCCAACAAATGCATCTATTTGCTCGTTTGATAAAGTTAGCAGTTGTTATATTAAAATAATAAATAAATATTAATTAATATTTTCTTCAGTATGAACCAATGAGCTTAAAGCTTAGAGCCACAGGCAGGAAGTCAGAACGTAATGATTTTGCTATTTTCATCGCATTTGTTGACAATAAGAAACTGTAATAATCCTTTTAAAGAAAAATATGTCTGTTTCGTTATCTTGTGAGTGCATGAAAAAAAAGGTGACTTGCACAAAATCCTCGAGTTTCAGTCAATTTCTTACATTTTATTACTGTTGCACCATTTATACAAGTACATATAATTTTGAATGCATCAATTTCCATATCATCTTTTTGTTTGTTTTTGAATGAACGTGTGGTGTGGAGATAGCAGTGGTGAGACATGGAATGAAAATATCAACTGTAGTTGTAGCCATGGATGCAGACTGAGAAATTATATGTATTTTTTTTCCACTTGACCAAAAAGACAGGACTACAGGTTCACCCAACCACGGACATGCAATTTACTGAGTCAAGAGAGGAAGAAAAAACTGAACCAAGTGACACCCAACGCTCCTCGAGTGTTTGTTTCTGCTACGGTTTGACAAGTGCTGGGAGGAAAGCGTTGCGTGTCAGTCGGATGAAACTGAAAAGTTGGCAAATGGATGGCGGAGATGATTAAATAATATATACGTATATACCTACATATATGCAAAGGTGGAAATAACAAAAGTACATTTACTCAAGCAAAAGTACAATTTTGGGGGTGCTGGTATCTCACTCGACTGTTTCTATTTGTTGAAACACTCAATTTAGTCAAGTTTTTAATATTTACTCCAGATTTTCTATCTTCGTTAACTAAGATTATGAAATATCACTGATATTTCTTGTCCTTCAGTCTTTACTTTCTTGTTTACTTCTTTCCTTCCCTCATTTTTTCTACATTCCCTCTGTCCTTGTCTTTGTATCTCTTCTTTCTTTCAATCCGTCATTACTTCTTTCCTTCTTTTCTTTTTTCAGCTCATATTAATGCATGACAATCACCAAAACAGGAGATACAAAGTGTCTTCTTCACTATTAATACTTAAACGTTGAATGCTTAAGTACTTTTTACTGCTAATTCCTTCCTTCCTTCCTTCCTTCCTTCCTTCCTTCCTTCCTTCCTTCCTTCCTTCCTTCCTGCTGATCCTAAAGCATGACTATCCCAAAGCTAAAAACTAGAGAAAGAAACCTTTTTCACTATCAGTACTTTTACTTTGGATACGCTTCAAAAGTAAAAAATGACAATAGAGGACTTTGCTGCCACAGAAAAACTGCAATGCAAGTAGTCTTCCTTCCACCGCTGCGTATATGTACACATATGCAATATATCCTTATGAAAGGTAAATTAAAATGCATGACGGGGTGAAAATGATGAAATCAGAAGCTCCCTTTTCTTGTGCAAGGCTTTTCCATCCCATGATGATAGTGTGTCGTACGGTTGCCATAGGAACATGGACCATAGTAGATCTGATTATTCGCTGAAAGCAGACCTGGACCAAACAGAACCTGTAAACTACCTTGTCTGAGGTGTTTTCACCTGCGTAGATACCAAACTGTTGAGGTTCGCTTTATAATCATATGAAGCTTTTATTTGAGTAGTTTTCAGCATTATTCTATTAATTCAGTATTTTGTTTGCCTTTGTCGACACGGTCATTATGTCTGAGGATGACATTATCAGATAAAGCAATTTTCAAGGACAAGAAAATACTCCATAAGGTAAAAACAGATTTTTTTTTTTGTATTTTGTGATTTTTCTTTACCAATGCAATAACATGTGGTAGGCACCAATGCCCTCTATATCAGTGGTTCCTAACCTCCCCATTATGTGTCTCCAAAGCTTCACAGGGGGTCGCAAGGCCTTCTTGATTCTAAGGGGTGTAAGAAAACTTTAAAAATATACACAGAAGGCTGATTATCACAGTAGACTAAAGAGCTAATAAAACAAGTGTCAGGGAGAAGAAAACACTGAATTTGTCAAAAAGAAAGAGGCCTATAAGTCTGTTTAATTGTAATAAATAAAATAAATCATAATACAGACTTCTGTTATTGTTATGCACTGAATATAATATGACATACCCATAAAATATGTCACTGTAGGGAAAAGGTTGGGAACCACTGTCCTCTATATCAATATACTTTTGCCTCTTAAGTATATTTAGCTGCTAATCCTCAACTTAAGTAGAGTGCAGGACTTTTACTTACAGTATATCTACTGTATGTCTACTTTGTGGTATGCCACTTTTACTTAAAAAAGTGAAGTCGTTCTTGCACAGAAGAAGAACAGAAAAGAGCTTAAGAGCCAATTTAGTTTACTTTCTTTTTAAAGACGCAACTTAACCGACGCGATTTGAATCCTCCAGCGTCACCAGCTTGGTATTCTAAGCAAGGTCAAATTACCTCTAGGACATGATTGTAAAGCCCATTTTACCCAGGTCAGCAGTAGATATGTCTTTTTAAAATGAAAACAATCTGTTAAAATTTGTCATCGGATTTGAACGGAGGATCAGAGATTTCCATCGGGCTGTCTAAGAACACTGCAGAGATCTTTTCGGCAAGGCTTTGCAGATTTCAGAAGCGTATTACAAATATTAAAAAACCGCTTAGTTCCCTTACAATATACCTAACGGTTTCAGTACAAAATCTAGAAGTTTATCTGAAAAATTCCTACGACTGTTTTGTTACGTCTAAGAATGTGTTTTGCTCTGCAGAGTCGGCCTTTCTCAACCTTCGAAATGTCTTAGAAAGTCAGAATGTTCTCAGTCCTCGCTAAAAATTTATTTTTTTTTCTTCTCAGAGAAAGTTGCCCCCGAGAGGAAAATGGGTAACAACCCAACCCAGCAATACCAAAAAAAAGAAGAAAAGCCAGGGGGAGGATGGGTTGAAAAGGGGATACAACCACAATTCCACGGCACCAAAAAACTGTAGGTACCAGGCCAAAGCCGAGGACACGATACTCTGAAGAGGAGGATGAGAGCTGAAGAGTGGACAGATTCGATGGTTCAGCTGGTAAAAGTGATTTCTTGAACTACCCCCCGCGCCCACCTCCTTCCCTTAGTCCCCAAATTTTGATCCACCGAGCAGAGGGTGCAGGTGGATGCATGAACCCTCTGTGGGCTGAGATGGGTTAAACCTCTTGACCGTATGAGGGAGAGGGGATGATGGATGTGGAATGGTGAGGCGTATGGCCGACACAGACTCGTATCAAAGTTCAAATACTACAGCAGAAAAAAATAAAATCAAACATAACAATAATAATAGCAATAATCATCTGCAGCGGTGGGAAACTTCTCCAGGTGGTTTGCTCCAGTCCTCCTCATTCAACAAATCATCATCAATACAATTATTATTATTATTGTTATTATCATAATATGGGTGGGCTAGTTAATTTCATTTTCACTTTTTTTTTAATCTTCATCATCGTTGAGTTAGGTACTTTATTTTTTTCATTTCCGAAAAGAAGCTGTCCATTAATCTTGAACTGCTACGGTTTGATCCTTGCTTGGTGCCTCTGTGGCGTTTGCCTCCTTGGCGGGAGGCTCGGCAGCTGGTGTTGTACTAGGGGCTGCGGCGGCCTCCTTTGCCGGTGCGGGAGCTGCCGCTGCCACTGCCGCCTCTGTGGGCTTGGGGTCAGGGGAGGCAGCGGGGGCCGCCTCGGCTTTGGCTGCTGGTGCCGCGGGGGCCTCAGTCTTTTTGGCGTCGGCCTCATCTTTACTCTCAGCCGCTGGGGTAGGTGCCGCAGCCTTAGCCTCGGGCTCCTTGGCGGCAGGGGCTGATTCTTTGGCCGGGGCGGGAGCAGCTGGTTTCTCCTCAGCCTTGGCGGGCTCTGCGCTCTTGGGTGCCTCTGTTTTCGGCTCGGCATTGGCGGCAGGTTTCTCTGGCTCCTTTGCGGCGGGAGCTGCGTTCTTTTCCTCCTCTTTTGGTGCAGCAGCGTCTGCTGCTGGCGCATCCTTAGCCGCCGTGTCATTCGCTATCTCCTTAGCATCGGTGGCAGCCGGCGCCTCGTCTTTGTTGTCTTTCGGTGCTTCGCTCTCCTCAGCAGAGGCCCCCTCTGCTTTGGCATCCTTGTCTTTGGCCTTCTCATCGTTTACGTTGTATCCCTTCTTCTTTTTGCTGAGCTTGCCTCCCATTTTGGATCTCTGGCCTCTGAAACAGAAGGGAAAAATAAATTAGTTTTACTATTATCGAAATAAATCCACTCATTACAATGCAAGTGCAATAAGAAGCAAGCACATTCGACACAAATAAACCAAATACTGGAGCGATGTTTAAGTAAAAACCACAAAAACAAGTCTTGAGCACACTGTTCCAAGCACTGCTCTTCTTCAGAGGATGATTCATGATAAAGAGCAGTCTCTCTTCGTGGTTAAAATGAATCCATTTATTACACCGAAGCCTCTCAGTGTACAGACTTTTCTGTATGAGATTGCAAATGCAGAATTTGACATGTCTGCATGAGCTTTCATAAAGGCAGAGCCCAAGGAGAAGAAGCTGCTCATTGAAATGATATGCAGTACTCATGCATTTAAGAGAAACATCTCTGCATTTTTGATGGAGTCTCTCAACCTGAACCACATGCTCCTCAGAGAGCCTCCCAGCATGATATTTCCCTCTTTCAAATCAGGCAAAGCTTATTTAAACATGAGGAGAGGAATGGAAGTTATGTGAGTTCAGACGCTTCAGAGAGAAAAACCCTGAAGAAAACAATAATAGTAGTTCGAACCTGCGACGAAAATAACACAAAGAGACAAACTTAGTCACATCATCCATCATCCTGGACTACACAGACTCAGCACATCACATTTCTCACCTCTCAGATCAAGAACTTCTAATTAAGAAAGCAAGAAAGTGCTTCCACAGCTGAGATACTGAGAGCAAGAGGAAATTAAAATATGTGTTACTGAGACAACACTATGAAAGTACCTCTAAGGGCTGCTGAAGCTGGATAATTGAATTCACATCTTAGAGAGATGGTAGTAAAACATTTAATACCCTTTACATGCTACTCATGTCGTGAATTAGACTTGGTGGACTATTTATCCTTTCCCATTGACCAATGGCCGGAATAAAAATGAATATAAGTCTCTATGTGTAACAAACCAAACATTTTTTGGAGGGACTACACATATGAAAAAAATATATGTTTTTCCCTTTCTCTCATAACAGTTGGCGTCTTGCTCTGTGAAACTGGTTTTAATCATCACTTGCCAATCTCTTTAGAGCTGAGATTAGTAGTGACAAGGTTTAATGCCAAATATATGATACGTTCTAAATATCTCCTTAAACTTAATTAAATTGTGTTTTTCTTTTAAATTAGATAACACAGACAGAGAATTGTAAAAAAAAAAGTTCCTAAAAAGATCAGGAAAACTCATCTCTGATCAAAATTCACAGGAAATAATCAGTTCAAAATTCATCCAAGTTTTTTAGTACTGTTATTGTTATGCATTTAATACAATATGAAATATACATATAATATATCACTTGGTTAGTTAATTCAATGATAAAAAAAGGGGTTACTTTATAACGCGTTACTCCCATCATGTTTTCTATGTAATTTGGGTGAAACGATCCTTTAATAATAAATCTATTCCATTATTAGTTTGCTGACAGAGATGTACTGTAAAAAGCTACAAGCAGTCTCTGAAACATCTCATCTGCAGAAAATATTTTATGAGCCAACTGAATGGGATCTGTAGAGGTCTGTGTGAACGGACTCCAAGATTGCATTTCATGGGATTAAGAGCTGTAGGTCAACAGTCATTGAGCAGGTAGATATAGCCCTGTAGCACTGTGTGCAGGCTCAACACACGCACACACACACACACACACACCTGCAGATTCCTGGCTCACTCCTTCAGTTGGTTCATTTTTTCATGGATATCACCATCTGTCTACTCGATGGGGGAGAGGACTTCAATACCACAACAAATCAGCTTTATTAGGAGCAAAGACTCAAGAACGGTACAATTTGTTGTTTCAAATATGAAGTCTGTATGTTGATGCTTAAAACTGCCAAAAACAACTTGGCAGTCAATGCTGCTCATTAGGGAAAGCCAGAAATAAATGTGCTGCGTATGTTTTCGGTTCCAAACTGCTGCATTCATTGTAGAAAGAAAAAAACTATAAACTAAAGATCTGTTTTTTAACCTTGACAGTATTTTGACAAGGAAATATTTAAACTATTTATTTACTGTCCCTAAAAAAGCAACATTCTAAGATGTATGACTAGAAAGGACTCAAGAGAGCACATATCTGCTTTTTTATATCAGAAAATGTGTTTAATCCACTCTTGTTTCAGAAGCTGCATCTAAACACACACAGACAATCACAGGAAACATGCAGGGGCAGATCTGTAGAAATATTAATGGGATCAACAATCTGTGGCTGAAAGGAATGACTTTTCACTTTGATCTTGCAAAGAAAGCTAACAATCTTGATATGTTTTGGAAAATTTGGGATGTTTCATACAATATCCTGGAGCATGATGATACACAAAATGATAGATGGCATGATGAACTGATCTGTTGCTAATAGGGCTGGTTTACTTTTTGTATAAATTCTAAATTCTAAATTATATGTAGAGATTTTCTGTCTTCACTGTTTGATTTGTTTTTGTTTGTTTTTTCATCTTTTAGTTTTGCAAAAGTTTTTTAGTTTTGTAGTTGTTCAATTGTTCATCAGTGTTATTGACCTTATTGTCTTCCTTTTTTGTAAAAGATTTTGTGTTTCCCCAAAAAAAAGAAGCAAGAAATATCCCTGTGGTGTCCAGAGGGTATCTTTCAGGGGTGACAGAAATACATACTGATTTACAGTCAATCCCATATATCAATATCTCTTTTAATATGTTTTTTTAAAAATGAATCTAATTTAATTGGTTAAATTTGACAGCATTTTACACCAAACTAGGGTGGCAGCTGCCACCCCTTTAGATCCGCACCTGGATATATGGGCAAAATATCTTTCATACATTCAACAAATGTGCAGCAGTTCATTAGAAATAAAACAATTAAAAAATTCTAAAATTCACCTCAAAATGTATTCACTGCAAAACAGGAATCTGAAGATGGTAAAAAAGCCTTGTTTTGGGGAAATTAGTCTTATTTTTTGTCTAAAAAGAAAAATAATCTTGTCAAGCATGTTTTGCATAAGAAAAGTAATCTGGTTTTAAGAAAATATATCTAACTTATAATTTAAGAACTTATTTCAAGAGTAAGACCAACTTCTCGGTTTGTCCCAGTGTTGGAAATGAAGCAGCTCTTTTTCATTGTTTTTATTAAAATAAGAATGTTTCTGGTGCTTTCATTTAAGACACTTATTTTTATTATGCTGCTTGAAGACATTGTGTCTTACTGTAACATTTTATTTGCTAATTATTAATTTTAGATTAAGGTACACATTCTTAAATAAAAATGTAACCATAAATAAATACATAAAATTTTGCACAGCTAAAAATGAATACGATAAAAACAATAAAATGTAAAACATCAATATCACCAGACAAATAATGTAAAAAGCAAAGATTAAAACCTAGAAACTATATAACATTACTCCAAAGTAAAAGCCAGATTGAAAAGTACATATGATAAACAATATGATAAAAGTTCTGTAAAAAAATTAAAATCTATTACAAATCACTAACACATCATTAAGTGAATGAAAAAATTTAAAATGTAAAATCAGCATTGTCTTCAAATGTGGTGATTTTGATGGACTAACTTCACAACACTCTTCATTTATGCGGTTGTCACCAAAATCATCATGTTCGACTGTCTGTCAATGTGAAATCTGTCAAAAACGTCTCAGAAAGCAGACATGACCTTTTCCTCCCAAACAAACCCGAGCGCTGAGAGATTCTGCTGGCTACTCACAGATTGGCCCCCGTGAATGGGACAGAGCCGGTGGTGAATCCACTCAAAATGCTAATCACCTCGTCGCCACTGACTGAATTACTCCACTATTCATGCAAAACTCCCCTGAACGTCCAGCGGTTGGTATCTGCCAGGGCCACCGTTCCTGCCGCAGCTTTATACGACCCACAATGGAGGTCTCTCTGCTGCATCACATCATTTGACTCCCGGCTTGTGCTTCCAGTACAATGACTCACAATCATCTGGGCCAGACAAAGGCTCCTTTTCAAACGAAGGCACGCTTTGTCGCTGCTGGGCGTGTGGTTTTAGTGTTTGAAGAGCTGGGGCAGGGCCGAGACAACCTGGAGAAAATGCTCTGGATCACACAAAAGACTTAATTTAACCTGCAAACTGCAGTCAAGCACAAAAGGGAGTCTGATCTGCCAGCTGTGAACTTCCAGCATCGCTTAATGTGGTCGATGGAGCACAAGTTTAGGTAGACATTTAGCTGACACTCCTACTAAGTGTCTTGTTATGACGTGGAAAAAGGTCTTTAAAATACTATAAAATGAGTCCAACAGAGGCATATTGTCAGGGGTGTTTCCAGAGGGGGACATTTGATTGGCCAGTGTGAAGAAATTGGTATCATATGAAACAAGATGGCCTAATGTATCCATTGTTACCAACCGTGTCAACTAAGACAATCAGAAAAAGAGTCCTGAGAAAGTGTCCTAAACAAATCCTCCAACTGACACCCTCAGACACTGTTCCTATCTTTTCATCTTTAAATAAAGTAGGTTAAATGGATTTTTCTGACCTTTCAAACGTAGTGTCTCAATCCATTCAGACACAGTTTCATTGTCATCCCTGATCTCAATCTCTGTGAGATTAGGTCCCTGACAGAGGCTGATCTTTTGCTCTTCGGTTTATCTGTTAGTCAAAAAGATTTCACCTGCCCTTAATATCTGGCCCTGCACAGAAACCTCCAAACCTTTTTCAGCATTAAATTTAATACTTTAAACACTTTGTTGGGAAAATAAATTATTTCCAAGACGAGAACACCCCAGATTTAATACACACTTTTGGACCAATGATGCAGGAGGGTTAAACAGACTAAAGGGACATGAACACTCAGGTAAGATCAGATTAACTTGCTGCAGTGATGTAGAAGTGTACTCCAGGGTGCGTCAGTACACTGGAAACAGACCATACTTCTCATTTGTTCATGCATTGTCTCCAAGCAGCAGTTACATTGGTTTCTTTGAACCATAAACAACCTTAACCAAGTAGTGTTAG